TTTTTAAGCAAATAAACCTTAGTAGATTTTAATTTCTAAAAAAAAAATTATAACAATAATAAATAAATAAAAAACTAATTTATTTTTACATTCATTAAGTATAGAATTAGAGCATTAGTTAATGCAACTTTATTAATTTAAATAAATGAATTAAACAAGGTCTAACAATGCTTCAAAAGAGACGATTTCTTTCAACAAATAACTTAAAAAATGTTTTACTAAAGTGAACATTTCTTTAGTTTGGTTTTTACTTTAGTTTTTTCTTTCCTTTTAATTTTTAATGCATGTATGTAAAATATTTTATTAGTTTTATTATTATTTTTAAACCAATAAATCTTAAGTCATTTTTAACTTTAAAAAAAAATTTGCTTTTATTAAAATTAGCCAAGTTTATTTTTTAAAAAAATTAGCTTCGGTTTGTTTTTACTTACCACATTTTGTTTTGTAATAGATTTATTCCTTTTATTTATTTTTGATAAATTTAAAGACTTCTGAAAGATAATTTTTGAACATATGCTAAAGCGCGATACATCGCAATGTCTAACAGACAATGCATCACAATGTAAAATTTCTTACTACGCCCAGTCCTAATAAGCACCATAATAGAAATACCATAAATATGACACTAACATGAGAATCAAATTAGGAAACCAAGGAATCATTTTTATATAAAACTATTTTTTAAAAATATTTTTTTTAATTGATAAAATTAAGAATTTTGCCCATTTTGGGTTCATACACCATATTCACAATTTTGTTTCAACCAACAGATTATTCAAACGGAATATACAATTAATAATAAATGCACTTCAAATGATTTGAATAAAAAAAAAAAAAACTGAAAGCAATTTAACAAGTTGTTTCAATCTAACATGGAGAGAAAACATTTAAAAAAAAACTGTCAATTTGGTAGTTTAGAGATAGACAAGCATTTAAAAATAAATAAATTTCAATTTACTTTCCACATAAGGTAGGAAATCATTACAAAACTCTTTTCTAATAATATAAATAGATAAATTAATAATATAGTAATTACAATAATTGTTAATAATAATTATAATAGATAGCAAATGACACTTATTTTTTTCATGATATAAGCTTTACTATAATATGAGGTAGCATACTTGTAAGTTAAATAGATTTTGTGAAATAAATAATAGTGCAGCAGATCAAGCAGTAAAAAGAAATAAAATAGGAAGCTATACATTTGGAACAATATTTTTGATTTGTTATGAACCAATGATTTGGTATTTTCCATATCATCGGTGCGGGAATAAGGTCGTCAATGCAAGGTCATTGAGGCAAGTTTAAAAAAAAACCTTTTTCTTAGGTCCATTTTGCATAAATACAAATAAAATAGCCGAATTTATGTCAGCAAAATGGTAAAGAAAAGAAAATTTAAATATTAAAAGTCTACGTGTTAGTTTTCGTAAGCTCATAATTTTAAATAAGCACTGAAATCATTTTAGAATATTTTAATTGTTTATAGATTAACATAAATTTCACTAAAACAAAAAAAGTATTTTTAAATTGATTATAAAATAAATACAGTATGGGGACCCCTAATCTGGCATCCAGAAATCCCTCACTTATCAATTTTTTTTTTAAAGAAATTGAAAAGACAAAAAAAAAATATCAGTTATATTCTCTTTTATTAGGAATTTTATTCTGTGGAAGTAAGTAACATTATCTTATCTTTTAAAAAAATATAAAAAAGCATGAAAAAAAATAATCTGTTCCTAAAGCAGTTTAAAATAAAGTGAAAAGTAAATACATCTGCATTTCCAATGAACAAAATAAAGAAATGCAAGTTGGGAGAAACTGATCAATTAGTATCGACAGTTATGCAATTGCTTTACTGGTTTGTCCCTACATTTCCCACTCCTGTTTGACCATAAATTGGCCGCACCCTGTTGACATTGAAACTACCAAGTGGTGTACAAAATGAATTCCATCCCTTTTGCATTTGCTTTTTTTTATTAGTTATTAACTATTACTTTTTTTTGTTAATTGTTGACTTTTTTTATCGTTATTAGTTATGCTTGTTTTTTGTAATTATTCATTGTTAGTTTCTTAGCATTAATTACTTTTTTTGTAGTTTCGTGGTAGCTTTATTTTATGTGAAGTGAGCATCTTTTGTTAAAACAAAATGTCATATAAAAGTAAAAACGAGAACAATGAGCTTGTGCCGCTGAAGAAAAAACGATTATTTCTTCATCGGAGGATTCTGATTATTTCATCTTGAAGTATTTCTTCTTGATTATATTATATATACAATCGACTCGTGTTATAACGACCCTGTGATAGAACGACCAACCTGATATAAGGATCCTGTGAAGGAGTCCCAATTCACATCCATGAAAGATAACATTATTTTACTCTTGCTATAACGACCGTAAAAAAGGTCAACTCTTAATATAATGATCCTCTCTGAATTTGAACACCGCTCTTTTCTAACTTCCTATTGGAAAGTGGAGTTGAATGGTTGACCTTGAACAAGCACACCTCTGTTAAGTCCTGTTTCCTAGAATCCGAAGGTCTCACATGGCGTCAAGACAAAGCGATTTCAGTTGGCTAGTATGGTGGCGTGTAGACAACAAACTTAATCGAGCATTGAGGACGAGCTGTCGAATCGGGTGAGTTTGTTTACTCTTGCACCCCCTCCCATTGCAGACATCCCCACCTCTTTTCCTTTGCCTCTCCTTTTCAGTTTCATTTTGTTTTTAGCTGGAAAAGGTTTTTGCATTTGATTAAAGTGTGCTGTTCTTAATTTTGCAAGCTTGCATTTCAACACGCTGATTTGTCATTTGATAAAAATGCCACCTTTAGTAAACGTTGTGCTTTTTCTATTGATGTGAAAAGAAAAATTTTAGAGTCCATCGATGAGAAACTCATGCCTAAAACTAAAAAATTTGGAATACCTAAGAACACTCTGTTCACATTAGTGAAGAACAGAGAATCCATTTTAAACGCTGCACCAGAAAGAATGAGACTCAGAGATGGAAAATTCCCTCTTCTTGAGAAAGCCCTTTTAGACTGGATGAAAGGCATGAGCAGCAAGAACATTCCTCTGGATGGAAACGCTTTAAAAGAAAAGGCAACAGTTTTTTTTAAAAAAAACTATCCTATCCCAATGAATCCTTCAAAGCTTCCGATGGATGGCTTCAGAACTTTAAGCATCGGCATGAAATAGTATTCACAAAAATATGCGGGAAAAGCTCTTCAGTAAACAAAGATACCGTGCGTATATTCAAGGAAGAATCTTTCTAAAAAATTATGGAAAACTATAGTGAGGACGGTATTTTTAATGCAGATGAAACTGCACTTTTTTTATAAACTTTTACCTGATAGATCTTTAGTTTTTAAAGGTGAAACATGCAAAAGAAATACGCGGTCCAAACAAGGAATAACTGTTCTGCTTGGAGCGAATATGTCAAGTAATGAGAAATTACTATTGCTTGTAATTGGTAATTCGCAGTGTCCCCGCTGTCTAAAGGGTGTAAAATCCTTACCTGTAGCACATTGTGCCAACAAGAAGGTTTGGATGACGGGTTCGCTGTTCGAAGAATGGCTTTGGATCCTTGATAAAAAAAAATTGCATCAACAGAACAGAAAAATCTTGATAATTGTCAACAATTGCACTGCGCATTCAAAAGAAATTAAAAATTTGAAGGCGATAAAAGTGGAGTACCTTCCCCCAAATGCGACATCAGAGTTCCAACCAATGGATCAAGGTGTGATCCACAGCTTCAAAAGAATCTACAGGAAAATGTTGATTCGCAAAATTTTATTTCATATGGAAAACATGAAATTTGACGTTGATCTGCTGGTTGCTCTACGAACTGTAGAAACTGCTTGGAAAGAAGTTTCAGTAAACACCGTTGAGAACTCTTTCCGATCAGCAGGATTTTGTAGAAAGGAAAATCCGTGTGGCGAGGACATGGATCACTTAGATGACCTTGACCTAGACGATGAAATACTGAAGGAATTTTCCTCGTATGTAAATTTGAGTGCTGCTATGAACAACTTTGACGAATATGCGAAGGTCGACGATGATGTACAATGTACAGAGGAGTTAAGAGAGAAGGAGATTTTAAACTTATTGTTAAATAAAGATATGGGCGAGGCTTCATTCGACGAAGAAATTAGTGTTTTACCGAAGGAAAGGCCTTCAATTAAACAAGATGCAGAAGCAATAAACACAAAGGGATTTTTTTTAGTTTCACCTAAATTCAGATGACCATTTGGAGAAAATTAACAGTTTGGAAATAGCGCTTTTCCAGAGCTCAAAATTACGACTAACTTCAATTTCCAATTTTTTTACAAAAACTTAAAACATGTAACTTCAACAAATTAATGCACATCAAAAAATTAATGTCTTCATCTAATGAAGCCTCGTTTATGTTCCTCGGTTTACACTTCCTTATAATACTGCAGATTATGTACATAAAAAAAAAATTGTTATATATACTGCAAATTATGTACATCAAAAAATTCATTAGAAACTAGATTTTTTTTTTGTCATACTATGTTTTTTAATCTGTAGTTTAAAATAAAATTCTTAATTGTTAACAGTTGTAATTTAATTGTTAAAATGTCCGTAAGTTTTATTAATGTATGTATCCTATCCTTTTTTGGTTTATAACATGTATACCACAAATAGTATATGCATGCATTATGACGTTTAAAACCATTATGTGACCGATTTTCAAAGAAAAATTGCTCATTTTGCTATAGCAACCATTTGATATAACGACCAGATTGGGGCAGTCCGGATGGGGTCGTTATAACGCGAGTCAACTGTATTATTTTAATTAATGAAATTTCTTAAGATGGGACAGCTTTAAATTCACCCCATCATAATCTACAATCAAAACTTAGCTAAATTAAGTGGTTTTTCTGAAATTAACAGCATAATTGAATTATCGTAATATATGGGTGCCGTATTGGAATTCTGAAATTCAAAAGAAGAAAATTTCAAAACAATGGATGTAACATACCTTCAGAATTTGAAATTGTGCTGGCAACTGTTTCTGAAATAGTGCTACTTTTACTGGTGAAGGAATTGAGAGCATTTTCTGTTGAGTTCAGGAACGCGTGTTTAGCATTTTCAGTGGCATTCAGTACAGTTTCTTTAGCATTTTCTGGGGTGCTAATGACAGTTTCTTTTGCATTCACAATTGTTTCTTTTGCTGTCACAACAGAAGAGGAAATTTTGGTGACACTTTCCTGCACAACTTTAGAAGACTCAACCTTTTCCAGTACTGTAGTCACACCTTCACTCACTGTACTCCTATAAAACAATAAAATAACAATGTATTAGGTTTTTTATAAACCATTCAAAAAACTTTTATTTTTTCAAGATTTTCAAAAAAAAAGAGGTGTCAACACTTGATGTTATTTTGATTTGGTTATTTTAACCAACTTTATCTTTAGATATTCAAACAAACAATAAAAGCAGGAAAAAGTAATAAAAAGCAATAAAATAAATGTGTTTTTGCCAGACAGTACTTGTTCAGACAACAGAAAGGTTCCTGTGTGTTCGTAGGCTGTGTGTCCCCTGAAGAAGAGCTGTCTTGCAAACACACATTAATTTTATTGCTTTTTAATACTTTTTCCTGCTTTTATTGTTTGTTTGAATATCTAAATTAAAATAAAGCAAATTTGGTTTTAGCTGCTTTAGGCACATTTTGATTTACTTCTTTTGTTTTGGTAAATTGGATTCATTTTCTGATTAGATTAACTTTATTTACTTTTCTTATGTCTTACACGTGTACTTATAAGTCATTATTAAGTTTGTCATTTATTTTTACAATTCAATTTTTCTCATTTGATTTTCTGTCAGTTTTTGATTTCCCCACTCTGACATCCCTTACAATTTCTGCTTTTCTCCCTTTATATATAAAACAAAATTGGATTTTCTATTTTGATTTGAAATGTTACTTATTTTGTCTTTTTCTGAATTAGTTTCATTCTTTGATTAAACTATCAAAAAACTAATATTTTTTTTATTTTTTTTAAAAAACCTATAAAAAAATATTTTTATTTGTTTTTACATATATTTGTTAGTTATTTCACATAAATGTTTCATTTAAACCAGAGTTGCACAATTTTTCTATTTTTGATAGGGGGACACAAAAACTTAAAATAACAACAAAAATGGCACATAGCATGCAGGGGCCAAGATGAATAGGGTAAAGTTGCAAGGTTTTTCAAAATCCAGACTTAATTGCATGTGAGCAAGTAGTTAAGAGTACAGTTTGTAAAAAATTATATTTCTCTGCCTGAACTCGTGATTGAACGAAATGATTACAAGTTCAAACTAGCACAGCACAAGTAAATAAAAAATTATTTAGTGTGGCACATTTTTTTGTACACTGCACATATACATGCAGTGTATGTATAAATTTGTAGCTTAAAACATCTGCACTAATTAGCATATTTCAGGTTAGGTCCTTGAACCCAGAATCATTAGAACAAAACTTATTGAGGGTATTCAGTTTTTTGTGCGCCTCCTTCATAAAACACAGAAACAAAGCAGACTGAGTAGACTTCTTTTCTTATTTGAACCATTTTTCAGGAAAAGTATTAATCTGCTTAAACTATTGTGAACATATTTAATTCAACTATTTATTGACATAGAAAAAATACGTACATGACTTAATACAGGATTCATATTTAAAATCTCACAAAAACTTTCCTCATTTTCCATAGGAAAATATAATATTAAATCTCACCAATAAAAACAAGAAAAAGGCATCAGTGTTAATACAATATCAATCAGTATAATTCTTACATACTATCTGGTTGTGTTATACAATATTATAGTTTATCGACATGTTAATATGTAAACATCATATATTTTAAGATTTTCAAATAGACAATTACCACCTACAATCTTAAATTATTATTACTAAATTAGTAGTAGATTTAAGAAAAAAAATTCAAAATTGCCGTTAATATATTTTATAAAAGCCTGATAACATAAAATTGCTGTATGAACAAAAAATGACATGATGACAATTTAGTGTCCTAAAATGAAAATTTTTTTGTTAAGATTTATTTTGAAGAAAAAAAAATGGAAAAAAAAGCAACTCAAAAGGCTATGAAAAGACTTTTGTACCGGTACAAAAATATATTATAGACTAAAAATGTAAAGGGACACACAGAAAAGCATCAAATGAAGGAAGAAAGTCATCAACATTTTAGAAATAAGATGTCTTTTACAGGATGTAAAAAACAAGAACATTTTAAAAAACATTAAGAAAAAACTATTTTCAGGGCTTCAAAACCAGTTTATGAAAATTGTTTTGAGTATGAATTCAAACCTCATAATATTTTTTTTCTTTTTTTAATGTAGCTACAAGCAAATCTTTAAATTTAACTAAAACAATAAAATACATCCTTATTCAACAGAATGGACAAATAATCTTATACCGCTTGGGAATTGGATAAAAAAAAGTAAAAAATCAGTCTTACGTTAGATGATCCTTGACACTATCAACAGTTATGTCTAGTTCACCTTTGCTTTCATCCTGTGATGTGTTGTTCACTTCAATTTTGCTATCAGACTCTTCCTCTTTCAATCTGGATGATGAGACAACTATTATTTCAGATACACAATAAAAAAAACAAATACCCCAGTCAAAAAATACCACAAAACTGTTTTTGTTATTTTTTTAAAAATTGAAATGAACTTCAATTAAAAAAATTTAATTAGGCAGGGTTGGAAAATTTTTGACAATTGACAGTTTTATCTTGTTTTAACCGTCATGTCCAAAAAAAAAAAAATATTGGCATTGTTCTTGACAGTTGTTAAAAATTATGCAATTTTGAATCATGTAAAACGAATGGCGTTTTCATACGCTACGGACTGACAACATGCTGAAATAGATTGTGGGTGAATTCAATGTGAAAATGTTGAATGGACAATGTGAACAGTGTCTTTTTCATAATTCGAAGCAAAAATCATAGTAAAGGAAAAATCTCATTTTGAAAAAGGAAAAATTAAGCACTTTCTATAAACATTTAATGTAAAAAGCACCTTTAAGGGCTTTTAAAAAACAAAAACAGAAAATAAGCACTTTTAAGAGCTTTCAAAAAACAAATTGAAAATAAGCACCTTTAAGCACCTTCTTTAAAAACGCTACACACCCTGTCTTATTGAACAATAAATCAAACACTTCAAAAACTTATAAAATTTCATTGTTTATAAAACAATTGAGTAAAACAAAATGGAAATAGGTAAAGCAATGAAAGCTTAATAAGGCAATGAAAGCAGAAAACACACACCACCCTGAAGAAATCTGTTAAACAAGTTTAAAAGATTTCATCTATAAAATTTAAGGATGGAATTCAATCTTATCCAGACTTTCATGAATATCCTTGAACTTTGTGATTTGTGTCATTTTTTTTTTCTTCTTACACATACATTTTACAAAAAATTAATACTTGCCATTAGAATTAAAGATTTTTTTAAAAAAATAACAAGACATATTTTTTTCTTGAAACATGGCTTTGAATTACTTTAATTCATTTTCCTGATTATTCGGGTTTTTCTTTTAAATTTCCAAATTAGTAAACTCCCAGACCTTTTTTTCATGCTGTGGTGTTTGTTTCCTTGTTCTTCATATTTGTGAAAAATGTATATAAATTTTTTGTCATCAAATAAATTGATTTTTGAAAATAACCACGGTATCGTAATGAAATAAAATATAGTCAGCCAAAACTTTTAAAAATACATTTAGTACTAAAATTCCCTTATAGGAAAAGTTTTCTAAATGGAATTTATTATGAGCCTGAACTAGTCAGCGAACTCTTCATTTTGAACCACATTTATAATCAACACAGATATAGGAAACTCGGTTGTAAAAAGGGCATATCACTTGAGAAGAAATATTTTTTTAAAAAAAATAATAAATAAAAACACTTTGAAATAAAAATGCATTTTGCAATTATCTGAAAACAAAACCACTTGAAACTTATAAAAATCAAATGCAACTATCAAATAATCAAAAGGCACCAGCCTTTCAACTTAAAATAGTAAATAATAACAAACTACGTAACTAGAATAAAAATAAAAAAAATTTAAATTTTTAATATGTGGAAGTGCTAACTCAATGTTTGAAATGCTATAAATTTTTCTCAGAGGGAATTTTCCTTAACCAAAACACATTCAAAACAAATAGTTTATTATTTGAAAATTAAAGTAATATAACAAAGTAAGTAACAGTAAAAAAAAAAATGAAATTGATTTTTCCATTGAAAACTTGCTATAATTTTAAACTTGATAAAATGGGCAAAATTTCAAGTGTACATTATTCTTTCTTTTTTAAATCGAAAGCCAAACTGATAATGTTTTTTCTTATTACACTGAGGAATAATTAAGTTCATTAATTGATATAAAATTGAATTTGTGTAATCCGCCCCTAAAAATAAAATAACGCTGCCCACCCTTGAAAAAGGTATTGCAAACTTAGCCTAAAAAATAATTTGGAAAGAAAAAAAAGTATCTAATTAAATTTATTATTTATGGGAATCCTTGAGACACTTCACTTGATCTTTCAATTAGGGTTGGGGAAAAAAAGTTGTTCTTGGATAAAAAAAAAAGTATTCAGATGATTATTTTCTAAACATTTTAAAAATTGTTTTGTTTAGGGTGAGAAAAAAAAAGCTATTTCAAAAATCATTTATTTTGAAAATATAGAAACAATTTAGAGTTTTGAATACTTTTATTTTGCAAGTACAGAACCAAATGTCAAAAAAGGTCCCTCCAAGCCTACACAACTGTTTTAATAAAACCAAGAACATTTTAGCATTGACTGTTGCATTTTAATATTTCACTTGCTTTCGATTCACTTTACACTATTCCAGATTCTTATTTAATTAAAATATAGGGAGAAAAATAATGCACAAAAATATTTAAAATGTTTTACTGTATATACTAGAAAAGTAAAAATTTCAATACACATAATTTCTCATAGTACTATCAGTTGCTAAAAATAATGAACTTAACTATATTAAACTTCACTAAATACTCTTACAAGATTATGCAATAAAAAAACTGAATATCTTAAATAACTTTTGATCCAATGATTTTAATGAATTAGCAATCAAAATTATTTGAGGGATTAATCTGAAATAGGCTAATCAATTAGTAGATTTTTCTTTTCTTTTTAACCCACAAAATAGGAGGGGCATAAACTGGTCCCAAAATTTTAACACTAAAGCATACCAACACTTAATATACACCTATTTCTACCATAGCCGGTCAAATGACCGTATGTTTCTTGATTGAATGTATGAAATATGGATGTTAGGAAGGTCTTAACAAATTGTATATTGCTAATTTTCATGTATTACAAACACAGAGAATTCATGGCTCAAATGCATTTTTTTCATACACAGGGTGTGTCTATTATACATTTTCGTCAAACATATTTCTTCTAATTATTATTTCTATAATTCTTACAATAATTATTATTTCTAAGAATTTGTGCTGTTTTGACATTTTTCTGGATAAAAACTAACAGAATTGAAGTGAAGCTATCAAAATAAAATAAAAGTTACTTGCCAAAACATTTAGTTTCCGACACAAAAATGACATTCTAAAATTTTAGCTGCTTTCTTGAAATTTGAATTCACAGTTATTCAGATTGAACTCACTACACAACAGTCTTTGCAGAAATGTGCAACTCATCGAATGCAGTACCTCGAAAACGCATTACATCGTCATTTCTGATCAGACAACCTTATAAAGCAATACATTGTTCTCCCGGTCAAATGACTAGTTGTGGTAGAAGTCTACAAGTGTTATTCGAAAGTAACAAAATACAAAACAAAAAAAGATTTATAGAATATGAAGTGTATATAAATGTCAGAAAAAGTCATGAAGCGCATTTTTGAGTTCTTAAACGGTAAGGGTATGTTTAGTGTTAATCAAGTTTTATTCATATCCACATCAGATTCTTACTGTATAGAATCTACAGCAGCAGTAACAGCATCCACTGCTTTTTCTTGTTGTTGCTCATCTGTTTCTGTTGTGGACTCTTCTTCCATCACTTCTTTCTCTTCTGATAGAATGAGGAGAGGCCTGCATCCCTCAGGCAGATCCACTTTACATTTTGCCTGCAAAATATCACTTGCAGAGAGTGTGAATCGCTGGAACTCACAGGGGGAATGAAGGTAGAAGCCTTGACCTGTCTTTGTGAAAACTACACTGGAAATGCCACTACAAATAAAAGAAAGTTATAAAAACAAAGTGAATAAGTAGTATAAATAAATAAGTGTGGGGAGAGTCTGAAAAGGTACCCCACCATAGAGTCGAGTCTTATATACTAGTGAATTGGAATTTTATTTTTGCTACAGTACTCCCCCCACCAGAATTATATCTGTGATGGAATTAGACGATTTGCGAGAAGCCGGGAGAACGCCACTAGCAGTGGAGAGGTTTTGTGTGATCGAGTAGCGACAGGAGTCACAAGTAGCTGTTCAGTGTGACTGCAACATAATCCTGTTGCTCCATCAAAGTTCACATCTCGTCCATAGAATCGAGTAAACATGTCTTATATACTGATGAATTGTATTTTTGTAGTGGTAGACACACTACACAAAGTTTTCACACTAAGGCTATTTAACTCCTTTAAGACAATGACAACAGACACAATTCTCCCTACAGTATCATACATGAAATATATAACACCTTTTCTGACTTACACAGGCATTACCTCAATTCAGTACTCTTGTGTTAGCACCTCTAAAAATTCCTTAGTACGCATATTCTTAGAGGAAAGAGCTTTTTTCAGCCATTCCTGAACAAGTTCAAGTTATACGGCTGTGTTGAACATTTTGTCAAAGTACACTGATAAAAAAGGTCCTTAATTGAAGTATTTTTCATTATATTCAATTTTCATTTCAACAAAGTTTTTCTTTAATAAAAATAAATGAAATTTAATTCAAAATTCTTCAATCAGAAAACAAGGTCTGGTAACATGGATACATATTTTTTAAAAAAAGCATCTAACTTCTCCTTTTAAATTCAAATAATTTATTTTCAGAGATATTTACTGGGATTGTAGCAAGCATTTTTATTTCGGTTTTAGAAATTGATAAAAATAATTTAATGTTTACCACTTATAAAGTATGATAGTTTAAGCTGATGAACTTTCTTCTAATATCATTATAAATTGGTGAATATTTTTAATTTTAGTTCTTATTGATAAAGGGATACATAAAATTTTCAAAATTATATTTATTATGCTTTCTCAGGTAGTGTAAAGTGGGCATATTGTTATACGATGGGGTTATTTTTACTTTTGTTAGTTTTAGCAGAAATCTAATGCTCTACATCAGGAGTTGCCACAATTAAAATGGCGGTCCGCAACTTAGTCAAAATTTTATATAGGACTGCATTAAATATTACTCTCAGATTTTTATCAAGTTGTTAGTATTGAATTACAAATAATAATAAATATTTTCTTGGGTGTAAAACCTGAAATATAAATATTTTAGCACTGCTGGTATGTTAAACTTAGAGGTTGGGCAGCTCCAAAGAGCATCAACCAGAGGTCTATTGTACCCAAACCCTAAATCATGATTAGCATGAAAGCCTTATAGCTGAAATAAAATTCAGCACTTACAGGAACATCCTGCAGTTCCCAGGTTTTAATCTTTGAGCAGAATAGACCTTACAAAGTATATGTCGTGATGTCTCTTCTTCAAGATGACAACCTCGACAAAAATAATTGGATTCAATTCCCATTATACACCCTCAAATATAGTCTACCCTTTTTTGCCAGTAGAAGTAGTTATTTTTTTAAACTTAAATTAGTTTAGTTCTTTTTGTATTAAAATGGCTAGGTCTACAAAAGCTTTTAGGAAAAGGCGTTTACTATGAAAGAAAGACTGTTCCTGAAAATACAGGTAATAGTGCAAATGTGTCAGCTAAAGAGAAGAAAATACCAGACTTCAATGCATCTCTTCTTCAATTTCAATACATACAAATAAATTTCAATACATTGAAAGCAAAAGTATATCATAGAAGCATGTTTAAGTAATGACATTCCTAATTTTTTATAGTAAAATATTTTTATTGATTGTAATTTTTTGGTACTGCATTTTTAAAGTAATATATAAAATTATTTTACAAGAATTTATATAACATAAAATTTTTTTTATTTTTACTAGTGTTTTTCTTTTTTCAAATGTTTTACAAAATACGAATCGTAAAATTGATGTTTATCTTACTCTGTAGTTAATAATTAAAAGATTAATAATAATTGAAAGAATAATTTAGTACTAGAACTTATATTAAACATATTCATGACCATGTTATAATAGATTACATCCTTTAATGAATTATTAATGATACCTAGTGTGAAACTTGAAATTTTAACATTGTCAACGTAATGTTAAGCATACTCGATATAATGCAAATGAAGCTTTTTTGGATAAAATTAAGGAAGAAAATAAAAACAAGAAAACTGAAAATAAATAAATTGTATAAATGAAAAAATGTATTAGTTTTGTACTTAGTGCCAGAGTATTTTAGTAATAAATTATTTTCACTTTAAATTGTCTTTTTCTCAAAATTTGTTTTTTTTCTGTGTGTACCTTTTTCTTAAAAACTACTGAAGATAAATTCCCAAAATTTTTACAGCTTATTATTAAGGACCTAATACATATACTGGGGTGAAATTTTTGTGATAACTCTTGAAAAATATTGTGTAACTGTTGAAAACGTACTGCAAATTGACATTTTTACAGTAGTACTCAGCTTTTATTTATTTTTTTTAAATATCGATGTGTATGGATACACTTTTCACCTCAGTATGTATAAGTGTTCATATAATCACCATAAAAAATTTCAAAGCTTTATGTTTGATAGTTTCTCAGAAAAAAGTTTGGCATTTTAACATTATCGGTATAGGGGGTACTCCTTAAAAAAAAAAGAACCATAATAGCAAAACGGTACAGCTCAGTGAGCATATATTAAGAGAGTTTTCACTCAAGCTTTCAAATAGCAACTTTTTTTCATGGAAACAATTTCTTTAAAATAATTAAATTGAAAAAGAATGCTATTAAATCGTAAAAACACCTTAATCACTATGGATATTCATGCTGTCATTTATATTTTAGATAAACCTCTTGCTTTTTGATGAAATTTTGCAGAGTTCAAAATATATATTTGATAATATATAATTAACTCTAATTTAGTAATACAAAAAGAGAGAAAAATATTTTTTTAAATATTGAAAATAAAAAAACATTTAAGCTATACATAAGCTTTTTTAGAGAAATATACAGTGAAAAGAGCGTAAGAATTCATAAAATATCTACAATGCACACATCAGTTGGTGGATACCAGGCAAGAACAGCTAAAAGTCTGAATGCAGTTGTAATTCTGCACATGCATTGTAAGTAGCATTTTGCAATTAAAAAGTGAAAGAAAAGCCTAACATATTTCATATCAACTTTAGATGCATGGGACTAATTATTCAACCAATTAACTAGAAAGGAACTCATTTTAAAAGTGTTTTGTGCAGCCTGAAAGGTTTATAAATATAGGATTAACCTTTGGATATGAACAGTGTTTAAGTTGTGGACATTATTTATGAGAAAATTCACTTTGTATCACTATATTTAACTAAAAATCTTTTGGCTGACATACTAATTTCAATAGAAATATACCACTTATATTCATTAAATCTATGCCTTTCAATATCACTTTCGCACCTGGTTCCCATCAAACACATCATCCCCATGGCAGAATGTTACAGAGTTCTTGCAGAAGGATTCTTCCTTTGGGAAAGAAAAATGTTTGCTTTTCTGCAGAAATTTTTAAACGATTTCATCTTTTCTTCAGAATTATATTCAAAAGATGCCTTTCTCGCGCAGCAGGGTGGTAAAAAAAAAAAAATTGTGATTTTCTTTTCTTTTATTTTTCTTTTCCGTAAAAATTTTCAATCTCTTTTTTCCTGCAGTGAAGATACTACTGATTTTCACATAGCTTTTAAAATCAAACATTATTTATCGCTACAACAGAGTCTGGAAATGAGAACCCGCATTTAATAACCCCTTCTCGAGAGTTCGATGCGAACAATAACGTCGTCAATCTTTTTTCCATATTTCCTGCTACAGATTTCACAATTTTTTTTAAAAAATGCAAGGATGAATTACAAAATGCAAAAAATGAAATAAGTGTTATCTTTTTACCAAATGCGAGAATATCACCCGTAACATTAGATTAAAAAAATATTACATATTCCAAGTAAAAAAAAAAGTTTTTTTATTTGGTTCAATTTTTTGTTTATTTAAATAATTAAGTTTAACTCCTTTTTTTTTTGGAGTTAACACTTCTATTACTTTAAATTAGTAACATATATATTTGTTAGTTTTAAATATCTTGCTGAAAGATATTAATATTAGAGAGGTATATTGCGGAAAGCCTGAAAAAAACTCTGCCACAGGGGTATCATCTATCATAAGAAGTAATTCTAGAACCAAGATTGTGAGAGATAATTACTTAATGTCTTCTCTTTTTATACAGTTGTGTGCTTGCTGTCTTTTTAAGTCTGGAACTGTGAAGATGCTAACTTCTCCCTGATTGGATAAACAAGTCATGCAATACTCACTGTAGTTCTCATCTGTAAAATACATGTCAAATCAATTGGTATAAATTAATTATAATTCCTGGCCAAATTATTAGACGCACTATAAGATTCCATGTAAAATCTTAATTATCAGGGGGTACAATACAGCTTTAGTGGTTTTACGTGGTTTGCACTTGATTGTGTTTGTCAATTAATTGGTTAAAATAGACAATATATAGTATAAATTTGGCAATTTGATATATTAGATATTATATAAATATAGAATAATTATCCTATCAAGCATTATATTAGTATATTATAATTAGATCAAATTATTCGACCCACTGTAGTTTTTTAATAATGACATGTTTTTCGCGTGTTTATAGGCAATACTTTTATATTTAAATATACATGTAAAGGGTTTTATATATTTTCTTATATACTTCCTATTTGTATTTATTTTTAACGTATTGCATTACAATGCTAACTAATTGATACACAAGCGTCTCTTAAAAACAATAAAGTATCACCTGATAATAAAGATTTTACATATAAATGTAAGTATAAAATACAAAAAGTGTGCTCACACTAAATTCTTCACCCTATTTTCTAAATGGCTTCGCGGAGGCCATTGTTTCAAAATATGCCATAGACGATTGAGCTATGTCAAATATTTTAAAGACAACACCAGATGCTTATCAAAAATGTTGTCTATAGCACGTTCTGCAGTACTTAATTATTCTTTATACCAGGTTATCCGAAAGATGGACGTGATCATGCTAGCAAACTACATCACCAAATTATTATTCCTGAGGTTATCTGAAACCATGCGTTCATTTTGTTTATGCAGGGATAAAATTGGATAAAAGGCAAAAAAGCTGAATTTCCATGTGAGTAAATCTTACTTATGTGCCATCATTTAATAATGAATTCCAGACAATTTAAGATAATAAATAACTATGTGTTGATATAAAATTAATTGTTTTCTAGATTAATATATGAATGATTACATCGACACTTAACATTTAGTAAAAAGTAAAATTACCGATTGAAAAAATAAAGTTAGAAATTATATTTTTCTTCCGTTCACACAAAGGAAACAATTATTTATTGAGAATCTGCCTAGTTTAACACATTAAACTACTGAGAACATACTTTAACATTCCATTTATTTTAATAAATACTATTAAGTGATATATAGCAAAAATATCAGTAACACAATTTTTTTAATTATTTAGAAAAGAAACTTTTACAATTGGAATCACTACGTTCTTATTATAATCCGATCTAGCTAAAGCCCTGTGAAAATATCAGTAATTGTGAAGTAGAAACATTTAGTAACTCCCTAACATACAAAAATTGCTATTTTAGTTCGAAAAATTACATGATAATAAGCAACTGTTTAGATATTTATCTCTCAATTTATAAGAATTTTCCATTTTATAGGATAAATAACAGCAACATTATTTTTTAAATTATTTACAAAAGGAAATAAGCTTCAACAAATGAAACACACAAATTAAACTAATTATGCTGTTTAGCTGCAATTTTTTGAAACAATCCTATCCTATTCACAACAATGTTCTGAAAAAAAAGAATATTTTTCCGAACAAGACTTTCGATAATAATTTTTATTTGAATTATTTAATATTCCATCAATTTAATTTATTTGACAAAATAAAAATACGCGTTATAGCCGGGAAAAAATTACAGAAAAAATGCATTTTTTCCCATAAAAAGATTAGTTAAGTATTAAAAAGTAGTAAACAAAATTCTAAGACAAAAATTATGAAAAATAAATAAATTATTTTGTATAAATTACTGATACAATATTTGTAAAAATGTGACGTAAAGTTTATTTCGGCAATTAATGAAGAATCTTGTACTGAAATTCATAAAGTAATATAAAAAATAATACATATATATAAAATAATTTATAAATATAAAAAATAACGATAAAACGAGCTATGAAACAAAAATTAGATACTGAGGAAAAATGTGCATGGCAGGAAACAGGTTTGTCGTCGCATGCTGTGTGAATGTACTTGCAACAGACGCACTGCAATAGAGGAGAAAAATCGTGTTTCGCATTACTGTTGCATTCGGTCTGTAAACACCTTTACTTAATTTTCGTGATATGACTGACATGGTATTTGGTGCAGTTTTAATGGGTACCAAATATACCCTTAAATAGATAAAAAATATTTTGGGAGTTAATTTGATGCCAATTTTTATTTATTTTTTTCACAGCCCCTCCAAGATACAGGAGCTTGTTTGTGAATCACGAGTTTTCAGATAGTCTACATGGGATGAAATACGCTTAATATAATATAAAGCCACCAAAAATAACTATAATAAAATCTTTTGTGTGCATCAGAATTGGAGTATACCGTAAGCTCTAAAAAGATTCAACCTAAATTAACCTAATTAATAAAACCTATTTTTGTTTTTAAAATTCAGAAACATGGAATAAATGCAAGTTTTTCATTAGCTTTGCTTTCAATTTGCCTGTTACAGATCTGTGGTGCTGTTACCAGAGAGAGTTTGAAATAATCGACAATGGAGGCATACTAGATACAGCAATTGTACACTTTGGCTATCGGACATTGTGGTTTATCGAACGGACCAAATGTTTCACTATTTTCGAAAATCACAAAAATACAATTTTATTATTAAACAACGTAACTTTTTAATAAAGAAAATTCTAAATTTTTTGAAAAAAATGGGTATTTTCAAAAATTTAGCTGAATTTTGGAAGATCAGAAAAAAGCAGAAATCCGATAAAAGGTGGAAAATTCTCATGCCTTTAAAACAAAAATCAATTTTTTGTTGACTGATTTAAAACAGTAATTTACATTAAAACATCTTCAAACCAATAAGAATTATTAATGAGATTAATTATTATAAGTTATTACCCAGACCAAAAAAAAAAAGAAAAAAAAAATGCTTAAATAGAAGAATCATACAAACCACTTTTGCTGACAAACTTGATCATAGCAACTTTTCGCACTCTTGCTCCCTCATGCGCAGTCAATTTGAATTTACAGTAGGGTTTCAAGCTTGGGAGAGTAAAAACCTTAAAATATATATACATAAACCTTTCAGATGTTAATCTCAAACTAGAAAACATTTTTCAGAAATTTGATTTTTGGTTTGAAAAAAAGGTGAAAGAAGTGGAAAAAAATAAATAAAGTGCGAGAACTATGCTTTGAGGATTTAGTTGCACACTTTTATTTGGTATTTATAGTTAAATTTTAGTCTTGTATACAGTATAAGAGTTTCATTTATAGCTGTTGAGGATTGTCCTAACGAACTAATATCGAAACGTACGCTCAAGAACTCTTTGTCTGTGTAGAGACTAGAATTTGTACAGAGCTTACTGATTTTTTCATCTATAAATAGCTTTCATTTTTATTTTATTATGATAGACTGATAAAATAGAACAAAAACATGGTAAGATTCCCTGCATTGAAATAAATTTTGAATTTTAGAAGTCTTAATTTGGTATTGATATAATGGCTTTGTAAAAATAAGACTAATTTGATCAAATAACAGTTTTAAAAAAATATATTAATTTGGAGACTTACTTCAACTTCAATACATTAAATTTTACCTTATTTTAACAAAAAAACTGCTTGCTATTAAATTTCAAATAAGCAAATTTTCAAATTATTTTATTTTCAGTCCCTTTTTCATATTATGTTCTCTTCCAGTTTTGAAGACAGTCATTTCTGATTTTAAATTTTGTAGTTCTATCCCAGCTTTCATCTCTTAAGGAAGCACAAGTATACATTTAGTTTTTAATATCTACAACAGTGATTCTCAACTTTTTTGTCGCTTTTAACGATTTTGAAATTTGACGGCACACAAAGAAAAAAAGTTTTAAAGATGGTTACTTACCTATAATACACTGCGTAAAATAGTTTATAATAATAATTTTGAATGTGAAATAAAATAACTTTTACTGCAAATAAACAGTAAGTTTATAAAGTGATTAATTACAAGATAACTTATTTATTTTTTTGCTGTTTATTAATTGTTAGCTTGCTTTTTTACAGTTATTAATTGTTAGTTTTTTTACATTAATTGTTGTTGTTGTTTTTTTATCCCTTGTCAATTTGTTTTTTTTTTCTCTGATTATTAGCTTGTTTTTTTTAATTAATTATCCTTTAATAATTTGTTTTTATAACTATTGACTGCATTGCTGATTTTAATTATTAACTCTTATTTCCTTTTGTAAGAAAATATTTAGCTTGCTTTCTTTTATTAATTATTAATTTAAGCAGTCATTAAATTTCAAACTTAGTTTGACATTATAAGATCATCCAAGACAAGAATATTGCCCTCAAGCAGGGTGCGTAGCCAAATCTTTGAATCAAAAATAAGCACTTTTTAAAAACTTTTCAAGCACTTTACAAAAATTTTCAAGCACTCAAAAAATTCATATTCAATCAGTGATATCATTGAAAAACAAAAACTCTTTGCAAACAGTTTTAGCGTTAAAAAAAACCCAAAAAGAAACAGACGTAAATCGAAACAATCAGTACTTTCCCACATCATCGAGTGAATTCAACTTGATCCTGAACTCAGAACAAAAGTACCCGTACCCCCTAAGTCAAAAAAGTGTTAGAAGTAAAATAAAATAAACAATAATAAAATTAAAATAAATTAAAAAGAAAAACATTTCATAAGGATCTGATATTCTCCATCCGAATTGGAGCACTCGGGTTTCGGTTTCAAGTCTGCGCGCATGCGCAAGTCATAACGTGGGTACGACATGAAGTCCGCGTGAATGATTACGTAGCAAACACCCCATTTTTCGTGAAATGCATGGGACCCACCAGATATCACTGAAGGGGGAAAATATTATTTGGGAAAAAAAAGCACTTTTTAAAAACGCCAGCTGAAAAATGCACCTTTAAAAGCTTTTAGAAACGAAATCCCCAAAAAAGCACCTTTAAGTACTTTTTACAAACGCTACGCACCCTGTCAAGGTAGTTCACACAATTTAAATATGGTGGGGAAATTATAAAAAGCATATATATAAAATTATATATAAATACTTCTCTTTAATTTAAACTTTACTCTAAATAAAATAAAAGCATTATAATTTTTACTTCATCATTTTATTTATATTAGTTGTTGAACAGCCGACCCAAATTTTGGGTTTAAGACTTTTAATGTTCAACTTGTAGCCTTGTAATTTTGAATCAATCCAGAAGACAAGAAAACTCCTGGGTTAGTAACCCCCAGAGGTATTGATTTGTTATGGGAACACGGAGAACTACTTTGCGACTCGACAGATTGTAACCTGCATCAGTCGTCATTTACTACACGGGAAGTCTTCGGCCGACCTGGAATCGAGCCTCTCGGTGCTTGGAACACTAAGAATTTGGCGGCACACAAGAGTGCCGCAGCACAGTGGTTGAGAATAATTGATCTATAGGCTCTGTGCCTCAACATTTTTCCAAATTTCGGAGACCAGTTCCATCAAATATTAAATTATAAGCAACAGTCATTTCCACAATACTTTGAAACACTGCAGCTTTTCTCAATTTTTCCATTTTATTGGACTTTTTATGACCCTTTTACTTTGTGAACTATCACGCTAAAAAATTTCAAAGCCCTTTAATAACTTTTCAGGCAAATTCAATTTCAAATATTCCAGGTTTAAAATAATGTGGATGGTGCATAATTGAAAATATTTTAGTCTCGCACTAATTTAACTAAAAACCTTTGGGCTGATATTCAATAAAAATAGAATTTTACCATTTGTATCCCTTCAATGGCTGATCAATATCATTTTCACAACTGGTTTCCATCAACATAAAATATCCTCAGTAATAGACATAACGTGGGTCCCCTTGCCAACAGGGGGAGGTTCTTCCAAATTTCTTCTGTATTGAGCTCAAAATTACAAGGGTAGGGAGTTTAACATTGGTAATCACAAACTCAAAATTGGGTTAACAGATCATTGACAGTTATAAATGAATATTCATGGCTCTTTTCTAAAGTATGTTAAAATGTATTTATAAATGTTTGAAGTACTTTCAATGCCAATTTACAAATTTTGCTGTAAAGTTTAAGGTACAAAATATATTTTAAAAAATGTCCTCTAATTTTAATTACATATTACTATCTTCTCATACCTGCCAACATAGGAGAAAAAAAATAACGGAGATTTTACTAACGAGTAAAGTTTTGTTACTCTATACACAATCACGTAACTCAAAAAAGAGAAATTCAAAATTTGAAATATAAGCACTTTCATTTAGTGAAGTAAAAAATATGTATATCAATCTTAATCTAAAGAAGTCTTTTTTAAGTCTTTTAGAAGTCTTTTTTTAAACCATTATTTATAATTACTTAGACTATTTTATTTTATAACTGTTGTCGAACGGCCGGTCGTTTTAAACCCAATCCAGAAGACAAGGGAACTCTTGAACCAAGTATTGGGAGAAAGTTTGCCATCCTTGAGGACTTTTTGATGGAACTAACCCACATTCGAGAGGAAAATCACGAATACCTCCCACAGTAAGCCCGATGGCAAGGGGACTCTAATCCAAGTTCCGCCTACTACTGAGGATATTCTACGTCAGCACAGTAGTCGGTGCAAGCCGGATTCGCATTGACCCGTCATCTCTAGGATTCAAACCCGGTTCACTTCATTTAAAGGCAAAAGCTCTGTCCCCCGAGCTGTCACGGATCAACCGAAACTATCGACGTACTGGCTGGCGATAGCAACATTTATTGAAGAAATTAGATAAATATTTTTGCCATCAGTTTTATATAAACAAAAATATTTTTTTTTTAAATTTCTTCGATACAATAGGGAGAAAATATACAGGAGAAAGGGAGGTTTTTACCTTAAATTGTTCTTCTGAGCAAATGATGACTCTGTGGGTTCCACTGAAGTCTGGTGACTTGGCTCTCTTGTTTTCTACCTCATAAGGTTCAGGTAGAGGATGACCCATGCCATCCAGTATTTGGATTGCAATGACAGGAGCTCTATGTTTCAGCTGAATCTCTTTGCCTTAAAAAAATTTTTTTTTAATCAGTGACTGGGGGGATTGTGACAAAAGAAAAAACTCAATTTTAAGTGCAGAAATACATGTTTCGTATTCATCAAAAAAATTTTCAATAAGATATATAAATAAATTACCCACCAATGATGAATCTTTATAGTAACTAATCTTAGTCCTTACAGGAATCATTACGAAAATTGATGTTTCAACCCTATGAATATGACTCGGGATATAAGCAGATTCCGGTGCCGTTTTAAATATTCAAAATGGCGAAAATACGTCAAATCAAAAGAATTACTTTTTATAAATTGTATTAAAAAGAAACTAAGACTAAACAAAATTACCTTATATATTTTTTAAAATAAATATATTATATTGCATAAAGTGTGCATTTCGTTTTTCTTTCAATAAATAGTGATCGATTATCATGTAAACAATAATTTGAATAGTTTATCACTAGGAAAACTTAAAAAGACAACCAAAATCTATTATTCTATGTTCCAATGAAATTTTTATGTGAATTAAGTTTTTTTGTGTCTATTAAAAACAAATTTTATATATTTGTTTTTAATAGACACAAAATTTTGATTTTAAGCAGCATGACCTGTTATAAGATCCCAAAATATTTCTGTGCCCCGGGGGCCCTGCGTGTTATTAAGACAGCTCTGACACAATTTATCCACGAATCAATGGTAGCCAACCAAGTCACAGCTTAGATACATAATTTGCCACAAACACACCATACTTAGCAGTTCTATTAATAATATAAAGTACAACAAACTAGTTTAAATGATTCCGGTGATAGTAATGAACCCAGCAAACATCCAGTTGAAAAATATATGAACACTAATAGCTAAAACACTTCAAAAAATAAAATCATCTGCTTTGTTTGCATTTATAACAAAAATAGATTGCAGTTAAATAGCAAAATATACTTCTAAAATACATCATACCCAGTTGACAAGTGACTGATTCTGATTTTCTATTTTCTTTATGCATAGAGATAGTGAAAACATAAATGGCCCCAGCATTTGTACCGGCCCATAATGTGTGAGACTGTAAAGCATCTAGAAATTAAAAAAAAATATCATGTCTTCCAAAAGGCCATTTGTAAAATTCTTAAAAAAATGCAACAAAAAAAGAGATACAACAATAAGAATTTGAAAAATTAATACATTGGTCAATATTTATGTTCCTCTTCAACATTATCCCCAAACAGCTTCACAAAACTTTTCGAAGAAAAAAAAATTGCAGTAACAAGAAATGCATTATAGATATTTCCTTTAAAATGAAAATTTAAACTTAGTATTTGTAGTATGCATTTTGTTAGAAATCAGCAAAAAGCAAGGAGTAATAATGGTGCATAACAGAATTACTCACTGTGAATCAAAATCCTAACACCTGAAAGTTAAAAATGGTTCATTGAAAACATGACAAAAATTTTAAAATTTAATATTAAATAATTAGCTTTTAATTGAACAATAATTTTTCACTATAGACATTTACAATTAATTATCTTTCACAATAAATATTACTTTACATTCATTAATTTTCTTTTAAGGAAGGAAATTGCATTTACTCTCTGCACTCATTTTTTTTAAAGAAATTTATATAACAGGGTTCCTACTCTTTTAACAAAGTAAAAATCAAGCACTTTTAAGGACCATATTTTGAAAAAATAAAGCACTGTTTTTAAAAAAAATTAAGAACTTTAAAAATAGTATGATTGTTTATCATCGAATATACATGTCACCATCAGTGAGTGCAAATTATTTACCTTTCTAAAAATATCAATAAATAAAAAAATAATAAAAAAACAATTTTATTATAATTTAAGAACTGATATAATTGTATTAATTGATAGGGCTTGCCAAAGAAGTACTAGGTAATTTTTGCAAACTCGGGTCAGGTTTTTCATAAAACATTTTCAGACTGTTAAAAGTTAACGCCTTTCAGATTGTAAAAGTTAACATATGAAACTAACCTGTATTCTACTTTTAATGATTTCATTGAAATTTAATTGTAAAATTAAGTGCAGAATTTAAGATATGAAATTTTTTTCATGCATATTAAAAAAAAGAGTAAATAACAAAATTTGGAAAGAACATTGAAATAATTATAACAACAAGTTTTTATATTCCGCTACTAGGCCAACAAATGCGTCAGATTTACTTTTATGATGAACTTTAACAAAATTATTTCCAGCCAAACCACTTATTAAGAATGAACTTTAATGTTGCTAAATATTCTGGCGAAAAACAGGAAGTAATTTTAAAGCAACCTAAAATTGCACAAAAATTAAAAACAGTATATTAAGTTGCAATGTTAACTGAATAAAATTATTAAAATCTAAGGATCATTCAGTTGAGTAGATTTATATTTTATGTAACAATTTGCTTATCTTTAAGGAATAAAAATAGCATAACAATCTAAAACTTTAAAAAAAATTTACATTGCTACAAAACAAATTATAAATAATTACCAAATATCTAACTTTCTTGTTAGAAGCAAACCATGCTTTTTTTATTTAGGAAAAAAAAATTTAAAGTATTTTTTTAAAAAAAACTTGAGATTTTCATCAAAAACCCAATAAAATCCATGTTTTTGATGAAAAATCTAGGTGGGCTGGGATTCTTCAAACCCTGTTTCTTACAGATCTGGAATCATGATCATCATGAATTTTAAAAAATTTATGCTTTCTGTAAATTTATGTTTACTTATTACACATTGAATTATTATACAAATTTATTTAATTCTTCAAGATTTTAAGAAATAGTTTTAGTTATGGATTCTTGTTCAGAAATTTTTGTGATACTTCTTTTCTTAGAGTTTTACTTAATCCAGGGTTCATACAGAGATCAGAAGAAGAAATCCAAGGAATATCCAAAGAGTCCAAAATTTTAAGGACTTATCAAAAATTTAAAAACTTTGTGTGAAAGATAGTTTTTTTTAAAAATTAAAAAGCAGCTATTATAAGGAACTTGCAAAAATGTATATTTTGAATTTAGTTTCTATCCCTTTTGAAATAAATTTTGACTTTGTCAAACTTCGTCAAGAAAAATAAATTAAGTTATCACTTTGACACACAAATACATTTTCCAATTTCAAATATTTTAATAAATCTTGCTAAAGTACAGATGTTAAGGATTGACATAAAAACCTACCAATCTTATATTTTTAAATTTGAATACATGAGAAAATCTAAGGCATTTTATAGCAAGAAAAAAAAATCACAGCAAATTATTAAGTTTGCTTTTAACATGTAAAATTATTTGCTGTTATTTTTCGTCTTCTAACTCTTGCAATTCAATTTTTATTATTTTAAAAGTTTTCTTAAACTGCTAGACTTTGACAGCTAAGTCATATCCAGTGGTGCAAGTGGCTAAACATGGCTTTGGAGCAACAAAAAAGCAATTTTGGAACAGTGAAACGAAAATTTGGAGCATATGTAATAAAAAGAATAAAACAAGAATTTAATAACAAGAATTTTCAAATTTGTTCATTAATAACGTGTCTTATTTTTTTCATTTTTATGAAGGTCCCTGCATTAAAAAATTAAGTTTCTATTAAATATTCTGCTATCCTCGATTTTTCCTCAGATAAGAGGATCTGTTTGCTTTCTATAATTGACATGTCTTTATTATTTAACCCATCTTTAATATTTTTTTCAGCTGTGGCTAAGAGATCATGAGAAGCCTTCAATTTTTTTTGCAAATCAATTTCAGCAGCTTTCAATCTGCTTTCCTCAGTTTCAGTGTTTTTACATTCTTTTTTCTCAACCTCTAATCGGGCAGAATAATTTTTAAAAGCTGCACGAGCCACTTTAATCATATCTTTGTCAACTTTAAAGTTATTTAAACTCCCTATTTTGTTGATATACTATTTCATTGATTGACTTGTCTCAAACCATTAATACTACGTGAATTTAAACTCACCCTATGGTCAAGCAGCTTTTTGTTCACACTAAAACTTCTTTCAACATCGGTATTCCCATGTGGTATGCACAAAAGAGATTTAAAAAGCTTTGCTAAAAGAGGATATTTGATATTTCTCAAAATTTCTTTCTTCACAAAATAGTTTTTCCAAAACATATCAATTGGTGCATATTCATTTCAGTCAGAAGAATAACCTTCTGGTTTTCTATGTAACCTCGTTCATTCATCTAGTAACAAAGATGCCTTAATAGAAGTGTCTTCCATTCTCATTACAGGATGCAACACTTTAAGATGGAACAGTAACCTATTTTTAAGAGGCAATGCTTTTAATAACTTTTTTGCACATGCCATAGACCTGGCACCTAAATACATAGAATTTTTTCCTGAAGAAGATAAGGATGTCATCCCATTTGTGGTATCTAGTCCAACACCAATTAAATTTGAATTTTGCCAAATATCTGCGTTTTCTACATCCAATGATTTTAAGTCCTTTCCTGACAAACTAAGACCTAAAAATTAATTTAATATAGCCAAACTATTTCTTTAAGAAAAAAAAAAAGAGTTTTTGGCAAAAGCAATTTAAATAAATTCAATATTGCGTGGCTCATACTATTTTCTAAATTAATAATTACTTTATTTAATTCTGTAAAAGATAATTCAATTTTCTAAATTAATTTAACTATTATTTAAGGTTATCGAGTGCATTTTTCTTTAAAATTTTAACAAATGTTATTGGTAATAGCATATTCAACAAAACATTAACAAGATTTATATTGATCATACTGAATTCATAAAAATATGTAAAGAATTAAGCAAATTAAGAAAAGTTTAATAAATTTTTATTACAAATGTAAATTAGTGAATGACCCCTAATAAATTTTCATTAAAATTGGTTACCTAGTACAGTATTTCATTAATGAAATGATTAAAAAAAATTAATAATTTTTAAATGCAAATTCAATGAGTATTGAAGCTAAAAAATTTGTCAGAAGTAAATTATTATATTGTCCCTACACTCATAATATTTCACAAATCAGGGATAATTAAATTTTTTATGTCAATTGCTTTAAATCAAAGATCATTTTTAAATCATTAAGAGATGAATTAAAGTATTTTTGAATGACAAATCTGAAAAACATAAGAGTTTTTGCTGCATTTAAAATATTGAAAGCCCCTCTCTTCATGCTTGCCTCTAAATATTATTAAGTTTTTTCCTTGAACAAATTAAGAGCAAATTAAGAACAAATTACAATAATAAAATGCAATAAGTAAAAAACAGAAAAATATTATTAAAAAAAAATCAATTAAGTAAAATCAATGTTTAAATACAATATGCAATTAATGGATGGTCCCCCAGATAAAAAATTACGTTTAAGAAACTCAATTAATTTTTATCTTTATTAAATTAAGTGAATAAAGGGGAGATGGAAATTTTGAGGTTATGAAGCTTTGTGATTCTTGACTGCTCTGAGGATCAACATGAAAATATGTACTTAGTGAATGGTCCCTCAAATTAATTCAAAGATCATGGTACTAATCTATAAATAGAATAGCACAAGGCCATTAGCTTGCCATTGACGAAGTTGATAGCACTTATGACTATGAAATTAACAAGAGAAATAAAATTTTCTCTTGCTATTAAAATTTGGCTATGTTTAGTTGATCCCCGAAAATTTGAGAGAAGTTTCAGAGAGTGGAAAATGAAGCCTGAAATTGAGAATATCTTGCAAAATAATGCAGAGTTGCACATGAAGGTGCAAGAATCCTTCCCACTGAATCCAGAGCAACCCACATGGCAGTAGCTTGATTGCCACAAAATTGTGATTTCACAATACCCAGGGGAAAATATCCTTTTTGGAGCAATTTAAGCCAACTACTTCAATTTGGAGCATGTAGGAGCAGGTTTCCACAATTGGCTCAGATCAGCGCAGCACTAGCACCACTGCATATCATTTAGTTTCCCAGCTTGGACAGCAAATTCCTCAGCAGATTTTAGTAAGTTCATCTATGCAAAGCAATAATCTAAGGAGTTTCTAAGGACTAATTTGGAAATCTAAGTAATCCCAAGTACTCCTTGGAGACTTTTTTATTTCCAAGGAGTATAAGGAGTCTGTATGCACCCTGTTATAAAAACAGACTATTTTTAACGAAGGTAGAAGTGATTCCACATCATCAAAACTTGCTAACGATACTGCACCTCTCAGGAATCAGAAATCATTTAATTTAAAAAAATATTGCTTCTTTATACGATATCAAATAAATAAACTTAGTAGACAACAAAAAACGTTTTGTTCATAATAATTAATGTGTCATCCAAAATTATAAAACAATAATTTGTCATTATAAATGAAGGTTGACAAAATTGCTAAACAAAAGCGGATTAAAAAAAAAACTAACATGTCAATACTCTCAAGGCAGAAATTTCAAGTTATTACAGGCTGACATCCAATTGAGATCACTCCAAAAATGCTTGAGAATAATAGAATCTTGAGGATACACTTAATGACGGTAGATCCGGAAAAATTAAATCTGATTTTTTTAAAATCGTCTATTGCACAAGAGCAAATTATGGTTGAAATCACAAGAATGAAATCTCGCAATTTGACAGGGTATTATCGGACAAATCCCGGTTTTGGGGGAAAATTACGTTTTCCCTAATTCTTTTTTCGAATATAGTTTTCCCTGATATCCTCAGTGTGTACAAACCCTGTGTTCTAGCATAAACTTTTTAAAAATGATGTCATAATAAAAACACTGATAAAAAGTTAATAAAAAATAGCAAAAGAGAAAAAAAAAATTCAGTTCTGAAATGCAACTTTTAAGTTGAAAACCACACTTTTTTAGGTTATCTATTATCTGCCTTGAAAAAAGTGACAATAAATAAAAAAAGTCTATAAGAAATGCTTCGCCGTAATGCTGCACTACAATTAAAAACCAAAAATAAAACAAACTAAAAAAAATTCTCCCTGTTTGAAGAAGAAAGTTTTGAAAAATGACAAAATGGACTCGCTTAAATTTTTTTAAAAAAAATCAGCAGTATATAACTTATGGTTCAGTATATAGTAATCTACTTCAATTTTTCTGAATTTAACTTTTCCATACGTCTTTCAGAACATAAATTAACAAGTTTTAGAACTTAGCATAAATGTCTAAAAAGTATTTCTAATAATATGCTGCTAAAAATACGATTTTAATCTATTCTTTATTAAATGTATTCAAAGTCCCTCAAAAAAACTTTTCCAAATGTCAAAAAATACTTTTCCAAAAAAAAAAAGCCAAATATTTGGCCTAACAAATATTCAGCAACAGAACCAAATACCGAATATTCGTTACATCAATAACTGTAACATAATATTTTCCCAATCTGTAGCCTTTAAAATGATATGAACTAATAACTTTGTAGAGCCGTGATGGCTCAGGGGATAGAACCTTCACCTTCCACTGAGGTGAACCAGATTCAAATAAAAGTGATGGCTGATAGATACGAATTACGCATCCGGCCCACTCTGACGTGAAATATTCTCAGTGGTAGATGGATAATGGGTTAGAGTTCCCTTGGCATCAGACTAACCATAGGAAATTTTCATCTCTATGTAATGCAAATGCAGGTTAGTTCCATTAAAAAATCCTCAACAAAGGTAAATTTCTCCGAATACTTGATCCAGGAGTTTCCTTGTCTTCTGGATTGGGTCCAAAATTACAAGACTACAGAGTGGAACATCAGTAGTCGTAAGTCTGAAATCAGGCTGGCTATTTAACGACAGTTATAAAATAAAGTAACAACTTTGTAGAAGTACTAACGAAATATTATACATTTGATATTGAGAATTTGCAACAGCTTTTGTTACTTTGAAACACATTTTAAAATATACAAGTCAGAATTTATAGATACCGTATATTCCGGCGTGTAGTGCACACTTTTAATACAAAAAAATAACATTGGAATTTAGGGGTGCGCGGCATACGCCGAATATAAAAAATTATAGATTAAAAAAATTTTAATTTTGAAAAATACTTTTATTTTAAAGAAATAACATACCTTTACCTATATACTTTAATGATTTTCGTTATTACATAAATAGTTCATTATATTCGTCTTCCGTTAATTCTTCAGGCACGTCATCACAATCTGTTTCATCTTCATCATCTATGTTACCCTCATCCATAAATAGTCATCTTCTGATCCGTCCAGCTTATTTGAAATGCTGCATTTTTTTAATGATTTTCTAACCATCTCAGGCTTAATTACATCCCATACTTTTAATATCCATTCGCGAACTGTTTCCAAACTTGCACGACGCATATGTCCTCCTTTCGTAATGGTTTTCTCGCCCTCCAGCATCCAATTGTTCCACTGTTTCTTTGAATTGGCTTTAAATGGTTTGTTAAAGCAGCCAATGGCTGATCTAATGGTGTCAATCCGCCCGGAATAACTGCCATATCGGTGCTACATTCTTTCAACAATTTTTTCGTATTATCTGTAAAAAAATTGTCCCAGACTAAAAGGCTTTCTGGTTTTCTATTGATACTAGACGAGATATTGCACATGTACAATCCAAATTTTCGTGTGCGTTATACGAAGAGTATATCTTAAAATGGAAAAAAGTCATTAGAAATTACGGATGTGCGTTATACGCCGGGGCGCGTTATGCGCCGGTATATACGGTACATGGTTCTATAAAATAAGTAAAACACAATTTTGCATATTTTTAAACAGACACAATTTTAAAAATATGCATGTAATAAGGAGAGAAGATTCCTGTTGTGGTACCTGACACAGATTTTGGTGACAAACGAACAATAGCACCAGAGTAACACTACAGAAAATCCTAAAATGATATTAACTTATAGCCACACCCAAGTAAAGATACAACATATTTTTTTTACGAAATTTTTGCAAGCAAAAGAGAAAAAAACAGTCATAAGCACTGGTTCAGAAACATTTACAAAAGTTCGATATCCACATCGAATCATCAGGCTCAGTGTTTTAGTAAGAATAAATTTAAAAACATATCAAAGAGATCAAAAAATTTTGAACATCAGGTTCTCACAGAGCTTAAAAACTAGTTGCTAACAATTTAAATTTTATCTTTTTAAACCAAAAAAAAAAAAAAAATCCAGAATACTCCAGAATATTGAAAATTTTGAAGACCTTTGTATATATTATTTATAAACATAGATGCCATTATATTTAATTATAGTGGTGGTTGTAGCCAAAACATAACAATTACTTTGGCATGGGTACAAACTTACTTTTTACTTATAATATAGCGAAGAGCATTTCCCAATGTATGATCTTCATCTTTTAAAATAAACGTTCGGCATGTATCATCATCCTCAGTACACGGTAGCTGAATAAAAAAAATCAACATTTTACTAATGCAATAAACAAATGTTGAATACATTACAACAGAAAAATATAGTTGAATACACAGATAATATCCGGTATCCTTTACTTACGACTTCTAGACGCCTGTTGCTTTGCTCCATGACAAGAGTTTCTACTTGTATAAAGATATTCGTGGATAAAAAATTGTGCTTTATTAACAAATAACTGACATAAAAATTTCCTAATAATTCAAGATGAAGAAGAAAAATAATTTTACGGCTTTTAGCTTGATGAAACAGGTTGCGTAAAATTTGCACTTTGGATGGTTTACTCATGGAGTCTAGAGTATGTTACCGCTTTAGGATCCATGGGTTTACTTCAGCAAGGCTTTTTCCTATTGCAGAATAGTATGATGAACTCTTTGCATAAGCTTATAGCTTTCTATTGCTATTAACAATGAACTGAGACCACTGAAAGGCAACTCGTCATTACTACATCCCAGTTGTGGCGCTAGTAGTAGGATTAGCCTGAGTACTCGCATGATTTTCCTATTCTAACGTGCAAATCAAAGACTCGCAATTCTTCATTAGAAAGTAAATAAAGTTCGAGCTAAATATTCTAAGATATATACTACCAGTAGTATATCTTTTTTAAAAAGACAATAGTGTAAAGGTTTATTTTTTTTCAGACAATGAAAGAAATTTAAAGTTAATTAAAATCCAGCATGCAGACCTAGCGGGCGGGTGTTTGATCCCCAGCATTGACACGGGAAATAATTTCGCACTATCTTTTAAAGCATTTTAGATTAATAAATCAAGTACAAAACACTTATTTTATTTTAATATATTCATTTATTCGCGATCGCAACACTCGAATACGCCATCTGGGGAGAGACCGGTTTCATGCCTTTAGCCCTTCTCCCTTCCCTCTCCTCCTCTTTTCAGTTGTATAGGAATGTACTACGATATTTTCCCTTTTCTTAATATTTTTCCTTTTTATTTAATAAGAATATTTTTTAAAATTTCCATAATACTTTTCTTTAGAACTATGTTTAATGTAGTTTTCAGTTCCATATAGTTTTTCAAGTTAAAAGATTTCAATCTATATGAAAATCAAGAGAGAAACTAACGTACTTCCTTCCTCTATGACTTTCCACACGCTAATGGGGAAAGCATGTGAAGTGTTGCCATAGGAAAAGAGTTCTGCTCTACGCCACCTGCAGCCCATTTCGATCGCCAATTTCAAACTTGTTTAAATTATTTCTTTAAATATACACATCTAAATTAAATTTTTGATGCATTTTAATTTTCTTGATGCATTTTAATTTTTCAAAGACAACCGGAACATCTTTTTTAAATTTGTGGGGGCGGAGTTAATCGACCATACCAACCGTCATCTATTGGCGATCGAAATGGGTTGGTTCTTCGTGATAGAATCAAGTTAGCATGCTTTATATACTAGTGAATGATGTTAAACTTTCATAGTGGTAGTTACGCCACAAATTTTATAAAATGAAAAAATGTATTTGAATTTTCTTTTTATTACAAATAGTTTAGAAGTAAATTTTTACCTTTAATTCTTTACGCGAATTTCTAACTTGAGTCACCCCTTTTTAACGAGCTCAGTTCGCATTTTGCAACCGATTCTATCGAACATTCACTCATTTTTTTGTAGTTACTATTTCTAGGTAACTTGGTTGTTGAAAAACATTCACTGCATCGTAAAATAAGGGAAGGATTAGAGCCACTCTCTTCTCCTCTGCTCAGATGCATGGGAATGTATTAGAATGTTGCCTCTTACATAATATTTTATGCATTTAGATTATCAAAAATATATTTTAAAATTCCCACGATGCTTAAATTAAACACTGTGATTAATGCAGTTTCAAATAGTTTCTGAGATTAATTTTAATCGGTTTAAAAATCAAGACAGAAACTAACGTACTTCCTACTCCTACGACTATCCACAAGCTAATGGTGAAAGGATGCTTAGTGTTAAGGGCATTAGGTAAAGAGTTCAACTATGTGTCACCGGTACCAATCATTTCGGACACCAAAAATGAGGAGTACTAAAAATTTTCTGCAAGCGGCGTTAGCAGATATTGCCCAAATCTGGTGAAGTGAAAATTCAAATTTTAATTGGAATACTAAAACCACTAAAATACGGCTATTTGTTATTCAATAGTAAAATAAGAATATAATTAAGCTGTATTGAATCATTTTTAGCAATTCAGAAAGCTGGAAATTCATACATATGGGACAGCGATGATGGCAAGCATTCCGCATAATTGAGAAAATGTCTTAGAGTAATTGCTTAAATTTCCGCTATATTTGTAACTGGAACAAAACTATTTACGATCTATAACTGTTCACGATGACTTATTTTAAATATAATTACTTTTTTAACAATAATAATGTAGCCTTACATGGCTATATATCCCATAAAATACAAATTTTAATTTGCCTTAAAAAAAACCTTTATAAAAAGGATATTAATGGCCTAATTATTGACTAAACCTACTCCATTTATTGCTATTCATGTAATTTGAATTGATATATGTTTGTAACTGGTATGATTACGTAAAATAACCAATATACTATAAGCATAAGCCATTCATTCAATATACCAATCATACTTTTAATTGACTAATGTAAAAAATAACAAAATTATAAAATAATATGTATTATTTTTAAAAAAAATTATGTAAAGAGTTGTAGCCAGAGGATTGAATAAAGTGTTTTTAAATAATATACTCCCAAACTGTTAAAACAATTATTTTCAATTAAAAAATTTCTCTCCTACATAATAAAAAATTTCCAAATTTTTTAAAATTAAGTTTAAACAAGCACTTCTGAATTAATTTTTTAAAAAAAATATTCAGTAAACCAAAATTCAAATAAAAAATTAAAGTTGACATGCACTCACTCCTTTGCAAACTTCCGTAATCTACAGTGCTAATATACTTAGTAACTATCCCTCCCAAGCCTGAGTAATAATAAAATTTTGAGTAAGTAGATTATTTAAAAGCATATTTATAATTGCAGCAAAATAATGCAAATAAAATTTTAAAAAAATCAAAAAGTTTTTTCCAGAAAAAAACTGCTTGAGAAAATTTGAAAAAAAAAAATTTAATCGATCATGTAAGCTAAAAGATCAGGTCACCAAAGTGAACTAGCATACAAAGTAATCGGGTCAGCAAATTTAGTTATTATTAAAATTATTGTGTCCACAATATGAGCTGCGGTAAAGTGATTACTTCACTGAAGTGGCGTTGGCAATGTGATCTGTCGGTGAAGTGATTGTCAGTGATATGAACACTTCTATATAATTATATTACTTTATGGTATAGTTTTATTCATATCCATTTACATTTTACCGTAAGATAGTTTTAAAAGCATAAATGTGGATTTTGGAATGAATAAAATGAAATCATGTGGTGTTTTAAGGAAGAGATGCTAAAAATTTATTTACGCAGTAAATAGCAAAAGCTTTAATTCCAAAGAGTGATAATTTTACTTACGAAATGCATAAAAGGTCGTCCTTTAACAATTTTTTTTTACAACCAAATGCAACACAGTAAACCACAATATTTTAAGGTTTTCGACATTAAAATTCCCGCAATAATTGTCTTCCATTCTATTATATGTATTATTTTCGGTTGAACTACAAGTCTTCCTGTTTAAGAATATAGCAGAGCATTTCAGTGTATAAAAATAAACTTTTTATTGAAAATCCATTTACTGAAAGAAGAAATAAACAAATTGCACACTACTCGGCCTTATAAAATAAAATCTAATTGGGAAATAAGGCATTTTTAGCTTGACCATTCGTCACAAATAGTTGGTTAAAATTTTCAGCTTATTAAGGAGTGGTAGCTTTCTATGATGTCATACTTACATCTGTCCTGCTGATTATGTATTGCTCAATGGCTAGCTCAGGTGGCGACTGAAAATTTGAACACATTAAAGTAACAATGAAAAAAGGAAGGTAGGGATTTTCTCTCGATCGATTCTCTAGTCACATGATAAAAGGATAAAAAGGTTTACAAGGATAAAAATGTTAGCGATGAAAGCACCCGATTTACTTTTTATCCCAATGCTTTCCACATATCGATATTTTAAACACGTATTACGAAACTCTAATCGTGCATTTAAACATGCGCTTCATTTAAACGAATTTTATTGCAAATAAAGAGATTTTCATTGTTCTTTCAGCAGTTATTGCTACACTTTTCCCAAAGGTTTTAAAAATCCCGATATTTTGAGCATGATATTATAACGACTGGCAAGTTTCGAATCACACATTTTAATAATCATTTTTAATGTATACTTTATTTGCATTTATCTCATCGTCCATCCAAGTTAACTTTTTTTTTTTTATGGCAGTTGTTGCTACCTACTTTCAAAAGTTTTTTGAAATCTCAATATTTTTAATATTACTATACTCAGGGAAATCAAACCTGGTTTTTAAAACTGCTCAATGCTTTTTAAATTTCTTTTAATTTACTTTTTTATATCGTAAGTACATTTAAAAAACCATTTAAGATTTAACAATCATAAAATCTCTTATAATTCACTACATATAAATGTCCTAAAGTTAAGATTATATTCCTAACTGAATATTGAATCTTTTTAATAGAAGCTGTAATGTGTTTGTTTTATTTTATATAATTTCAGACTCCATAAAATTTTAAAAACTAAAATATTCAATTTGCACTTGCATTGCTTAAGAAAATATTTTTTATTATTATTTTTATTAAAGAGCTAAGAGGTAGAGTAGAGTAGGGGTGCACAAACTTAGTAGAGAACATACATTTTTTAGTGAAGGGCCACATGCACAGCAGATAGACCAATAAAGGGCCGCATGCCAAAGTATTTAGACAGACATATTGACAGCAATTATAGGTAGTAATTGTTATATAAAAAACATCATTGATCTAAGCACTAAATTCCTTTTGTCAGTTAACCTTGTACTATCTTTGCATAAAATTAAATACTTTTAAATGTTTAAAATTAGAAATTGCAAAACTGAAGAATCAGAATCAATTTATCAGAATTTTTTTTTAGCTAAATTGAAATAATTAAAAACTATGGGAAAATTCATGCTTTTTTCTTCTTCATATTACATTATACAAAAGTTCATTTAAATAAATTTCAACATTAAAATTTTTTAAATCCTTATATTTTTTTGATATGAAAGAAGCATTTTTTATGGTATCAATTTAGTTTAGTATTCTTCAGTTTTGAATGAATTTTAATATTTAATTTTATTTTCGTAAAATATATTACAAAGATGGAGAGATTTCCGTATCGTGATCTGTGGTAGAATAATTGCCATGACTTGGCAATTTCTAGGCAGTGGCTCGCAAGAAACTAAAACAAACAACACAGAAAGGAACCAACTCTAAAGATATAAATCGTAGCCCTACCTGGTAAACATTTACATGTTCTTTTCTTTTTAATTTTCAAGTTTAAAATTTATTTGGCACATTGGAGATTGTAGTTGACATGACACATCACGATACAGTAATATCCCCCCAAGATGACTTGTTGTGGGGAAAACATTGACATTCATATAAAAATTACCATAACTTTTATCAATTATCTAAACACTTTGACATGCAGCCCTTCATCAGTCAACCTGCTGTAAAAAAAAGCCTTTTATTCAAAAAGGTTATGCACCAGTAGTTAATTTAAAGTATAATGATACACACATTTGTCAATTTATAAGAGGTTTTTTTCTTTTTAAAAAAATACACCAATTTTGTTTTTTCCTTTTTAAATTTTTTAATCTTTTTTTTAATTGCTAATAAGAATACATTTCCTTTAAATTTTCAATAACATTTGAATCATGAATCTGCTTTTATTAGCTATAAAAAAAATTTTGGGGAGATTTCCGTATCGTGATCTGTGGCAGAATATTCGCCAAGTCTTGGCAACTTCGGGGCAGCAGTTTGCGAGGAACTAAAAAAAGAAAACATCACAGAAAGGAACCAACTCAAAAGGTATAACTCGTAGCTATCCCCAGGTAAACATCTACATGTTTTTCTTTTAAAAAATTCGCAAGTTTGGCAAGTCTATTTGGCACCTCGGCGATTGTAGTTGACGCGACAGATCATGATACGAAAATATCCCCCGAATTTTTTTTAATACGGTAATATAGCTTGAAATGATCGTGTGAAATGTAGTTTTACCTAATCAGAGTTCATCCAGGGTAATAGTGCAACACCAAAGTAAACTACAATTTCGGCAAAAAATAAAATATGCTGTTAACACTCCAGAATGAACTCTTAGTTAAAATAGAAACTAAACAATTGTTTTTCAATATATATATTAGATTAACCAAAGCAAGGTGGACGCTTTTTGCCTATTTACAGGGTATGATTGCCTTGATGCCAATCTCTATCACTGAGGCCATCTGCCCCTTGTGATACAAAGAAATGAGCCTAGGGACAAATATCACTGCGTACCTGTGGAGCTCTCTATGGCGACATGGAATCATTGAGACATCAAGAAGTTAAGAGGACTTATGGGACGATAACCTTTACTTATCTAATAAACTTTATGTTTTTGTTACTGTTAATTTCTTGGTTTATATTTTTCTGGTTCATGGCCCTAGCCATAAGAAATAAAATAAAAACAAGTGAAATGTATTGTTTGACTTATTTTTAATAATAATTCAATAATGCTAATATTTATAAAACTTAACTAATTATAAACCAAATTTTTATAGTATTTTTTATAAAATCTGTTATAAATAAAACAAATCTGATATAATAAATAATCAAATGTAACATGATAATCAAATAAATCAGATTCATTTGATGTTTAAAAAAAAAAAAATCACAAACCTTGATACTAACTATATAGATATAAATGTCTTATTATGTTTGCACATGATGCACTCTAGTATGAATACGGGAATGTTGAATTAAATTGCATGTTCTTGGAAATGTTTTATGACATATATTACATGAATAAGGTTTCTCTCCGGTATGAACAGTGTGATGGTGATTAAAAGAACTTTGAAATTTGAATGTTTTACCGCACACGCTGCATGAATAAGGTTTCTCTCCAGTATGAACAATGTGATGGTTATTTAAAGAACTTTGAAATTTGAATGTTTTACCACACACACTGCATAAATAAGGTTTCTCTCCAGTATGAATACGAAAATGTTGCACTAAATTGCCTTTAAATGTGAATGATTTACCACATACACTGCAAGAAAACTTTTCACCAGTATGAATACGAACATGCGTACTCAGACTATTTTTATCAACAAATTTTTTACCGCACACGCTGCACGAACACATCTTCTTTCCACTATGAATATAGGAATGTCGAATCAAACCATGTTGAAAAGAGAATTTTTTCCCACATTCATTACACGAATATGGTTTTACATCGGAATGCAAGGCCGAGTGGCGGGTTAGACTAGATTTCAATGAAAATGTTTTATCACACATATCACAGGCATAAGGTCTCTCACCGGTATGAAGATAAGTGTGTTGAGTTAAATTCATTTTTTGAGTGAAACTTCGATTGCACACATTGCATGAATAAGGCTTTTCACCAGTATGAACACGAGAATGTCGATTTAAACTTCCCTTTTCAGTAAATATTTTATTACACACGCTACACGAATAAGTCTTCCTTCCAGAATGAACACGATAATGTCGAAATAATTTAGATTTATCCGCATATGTTTTACCACACATGTTGCATGAAAAAGGATTTGTTTCGCTATGCAGATGAGAATGTTGATTTAAAAGAGTTTCACTTTGAAACGTTTTAGCACAAACACTGCAAGAAAAAACCTTCCTGTCTGCATTAACGATGGTATGTTCGTTTAAAGTACTCTTTTGTCTTAACATTTTATCTGAATTTAGTTTAATCTAATGAACATTTTTGTTTTGCAAAAGAGCCATTCAATCTTAGCAGCCGATGTTCCATTACGATAACCCTAGAAGTCAGTGGCGTTGGCGGCATCAGAAAAATTAGGGAGCGCCAAGGCTATTCTTACGCCAAGATTTGCCCTGCAGACGGCAGGTGAATTTTGCGCGGAATTTGAAATGCCGTTATTCAGCATCATGTGCAGTGTAGCGTTAAATGAAATGAGTGTATTTTAATTATAAATCTTTCATTTGTACAAAAACGTTTCACAAATCTTTTATTTGTTTAAAAAGTGTTTCGTATGCACGTAGGGGCTTTTGATGACTGATTATTTTATTAAATTATTTGTTTTCTTTTCAATGCTGAGTGAATTACTAAGCATTATTTCGTCTGAACTCAATATATGAAAAAATTGTAAGTAAAAAAAATTATTTATTTATTTTTAGAAAAACAAAAACAACTCTTTTAAGTGGCAAAATTTTGTAGCTGCATTTTGATAATTTATACTTTATTATAAAGAATTTGTTTTTTATTCCTTTTTATCTTTTAATTCTTTCAATGCACGGAATTTGATAGCATTTTATTATTTTTAAACCAATAAATCTTCTGTCATTTTCTCTTATTTTAATTAAAACTAAGCTTACATTTATTTATTTGATATTCGGCCCTTAGTCAATCCAATGTTATTATTTTATATAATAAATATTAAGTACATTTTTAAACTAATAAGTCTTAAGTCGATTTTAATTCCGTAAAAAAAGATAAATAAATAAAACAAAACTTAAATTTAATTTTACAGATATTACGTTTGAAATTTGACTGTTAGTCAATACAACTTTATTATTTTAAATAGATAAATGAAAAAAAAAGTTTAGCGATGCTTCAAAAGTATTTTTTTCTCCAAAATTGCGTTTGATAACTGAGTTCGAAATTATGTTCCCAAACTAACTTCTTTTTTTTTTTTTTTTTACTTATGTATTCTTTTGCCTTTTAACCATTTTTTTTTTTTTTTTTGAAGTTATACTTCTTATGCGACTTCCAACAAGGTTGCGTTAAACGTTTAACGCTACATTTTTATTGGCCGGGAAATCACGTGGTAGGATCCAGTTGTCCCTCATTCATTTCTATATTGTTTTAGTTCTCACTAGTATAAAAATAATAAAAGTCATAATAGTATTGTTTTTCTATAAATATTTATTTAGTTTGTTTTGATACGCATATAATTTAATGGTGTAGTATTTTTTATTTTCAAATTTAGTGGATAACAATTGTAAAAAATGAGTGAAAACAATCCCACGGACAATGTGACGGATTTAAGGTTATGTCAAGGTACGTCTTTTGTAAATATCAATTGATTGTTAGGTTTTCTCTTCTCAAATTACATTACGACGCATTCACATACATTATTAATACATTTTCCAGGGCGAGACGATGAGGCAACCACAAGCACTTCCACTGGTTCAAGAGGTCTACGAGGGAAAAATGCACAATATTACCGTGATTACAGAGCACGGAAACGAGCGGAGCAGAAAAGAGAGTCGTTGGATAGAACTAGTGATCCTTTTACGACTGCTGATTCTTCTACAATTAACGTCGCAGGTTGCGAAGTTTAACTTCTCCCACGCGGAGGGACTCTACGCACTATTTTTATTCTTCTTAAATATTTTTACAATACATGTAAGCAAAATATTTCGATAGAATATTATTATTTTTTTAAACCATTAAATATTACGTCATTTTTAATTAAAATATAAAGTCAAAACTTATTCTTGTTTTAGTTTTAAAATTCGGTCATAAGTAAATCTGTCTTTATCATTTTAATTAAAAAAAATAAGACTAATAATATAAATAATATTATTTATCTATAAGACTAATAAGATAAATAATAATGTCATTGATGTTACAAAGACAATTTTCACAGTTAACATTTTCTTTTGTTATAAATTCATTATTTTTATTTTAGATTGATATAAGACATGGATCTTAGATTTTGAATTGGGTAGTTTTGCTTCAAAATGTAATGTCGGGAGTATATTATATGGAAGTCAAACAGACGATATATCTCCATATAAAACCTCTAATTGACATTGTTCAGTCCTAGTTGTAATTAAAGCTCTAGACTACCTAGTAAAGTAGCGTCACTCTTTTCCTTACGACCTTTGTGCCGTTTTCGATTTTGATTGACTGCCACTGATCACATGGTTAAACAGTTGCTATTTTTTAGTTCTGGAATTCCATTTAGTATTTGTCAGTTCCCCCAATTCCTTTACCCACTTGTTGCAATCTTCTAAATTTAGAACATTGCTTCTAAGGGTAATAATGTTTGATGAAATATTTTCCATTTCATTTTTAAATAAAGTAGGCCAGACATTTCAAGTTTGAAAAAAAGCTGTAGTACAGAAATCATTCTATGCTTAAAATAACAAGCATAGCAGAATGAAATAGCCAAACGTTACAGAAGGCGTTGCCAAAAAATCCAATCAGGTCGCGGTCGCTCAAAATCTCTCTTTAGTTTCTGCAGATGTAAAGGTAGTTTACATGCTGCCCGGCACTAAAGGACACCCCTTTGTGTGACCATTACTGGCATGCAAGGAACTTATTGATTTCATAAACTTTTACTCGCCAAGTCTGTTATGTTGTTCTTTTCTTTATGTTCTCATTTGTTCCTCCTCTTTTGTGGTGTAGAAGTCTTTCTGCAACGTTGGCCATTGGAAATAAAAATAAAAAAAACGTTTTTTAAAATTGACTACCAAATTGATTATTTATTGATTTGCAGTTTACAATTTAATAATTCCACTGTCTCATATCTGCTACAACTTTATGAACTAAAGCCGTACATGTGTTTAGTATAATCCACAAAATCTATTGCACTTACACATACGAATTTTTTTGATGAAGTAATTAAAACAATTCATTCCCCTTTATTTGATGTCCTTTGTCTGGGCAGTTTAAAATAAACAGTAAAAGGAAATCGCGTTATTTTCCTGTATGACTTACTGCTTCTAAGACTGTCTTTCCCAATAATTCGTTCAGTTCTTCGTCAGCTTGAATAGCTTCCATTATGTCTTTGACTTCAATGACTTTATTTCGGCGATGAATGGCGTGGTTCCCAGCTTTCTCCAAAATTTCAGTCATCAAATACTCTTGCGCAGCTGACAGGTACAGGGAAACTTCTGGTTTAACTTCGACGGTTGGTTTTCCTTTAATCAATAAGTTGTGTATTTCCTGAGCTGGAAAAGTTGGTCCCGAAGCACCGCGAGCTGTTGCGGGCTTACGCTTAGATTTGGAAGCTAGTTTTCTCCTCTTTGTAGGTCTTTCTGCTGACTGCATTATAGATTCATAAATTCAGCTAAAATGCAAAAAAATAAAAAAATTTTGCGATTGAGATTTGCGTGATATGGCATGGTGCAGTTAGGATTCTACGTTGACGCATCCCTTATTATAAAATGTCAGAATCCTTGTCAAATTTAATTACATACACACATTAAAAGTCACAAAATTAATATTTTAGCGAGGAAAAAAACAAAAAAAAAAAAGCATTTTCAAAATCTGACGAATTACTATTAAGGAATAAAATACATCCGAAATCAGTTTGAAGTTTGGTGCTGATTGTTTCAAAGGTGCCTTTAAAAATTGCCATTTACTTCTTCTCAGTTTCCTTCAGCAATCGCGTGGGTTTTTATGCTTTTTATTCTGCCTACATTTATCATTATACATGATTTATCTGATTCATATAAAGTTCTTGGCTTTTTCTCTCTTAAAATTGATATGTTACTTTTTGACATGGATTCAATTCTACAAATATGCTTTAACAGCGGTGATTACTTAATATCTCATTTATAGGGAGATTCAACATTATATTCCGAGAGATAGCGTAAGAAATTGTCAATCATTTTAATATTTTATTTCATATATAACGTTCATGCTAAAATAAAATGATTTGCTGGTCTATACGCTATACGCTGTGTGATAAGGAATAGGAGTAAACCTTTAAAACCATTTTAACAAATGCAAGTGATGGGAAACTAACTATAATAAATTTTTAAAAAATTACTATTTTCCGTACTATGGTATATTATGAATTCTTAAAAAAAATTGCTATTAAGCTTATGGAAATTCTTAAAATTTTTCTAATTTTAATTGAAGGACTTGGGACAAATGATAAGCCACATTTTCAAGTTGTTCAAGAGGGCGCTTTTAAAAGAGTGCTTTTGGTAAAAGTACTGCAACAAAACAATATGGTTTTCATATAGGCAATAAGATTTTTTCTGAGAATTGAGCGGAAATTTCAAAAACTTATAAACTGCTTATCTTTAATCAATATTAAAGGATGTTTTGCTATAAAAATGTTATCTTTGAAAAAAGTTAGGCATATCACTCAATCACCCTTTTCAATTAAAGTCTTCCTTCAAGATTTAAAATATTATGTTAGTTATTGAGTACTTTTCTCATCTGGATACATAATCTGACTCATCATAATCCCCTATAGTACCACCGGCCTATAGAGAAAAATAGTTTACCAGTCCGCTAATGCAATCCAGTTTCTTTGGCTAAATATTTTTTCCTTCTATCATTTGCCATTCAAATAATTTTAAATCTCTTGCCCTTTAACCCTCAATGCTGAGAATTCAGTAGTAGTAGCAGTAGTAGTTCATTTACGTCGCATTAGAGCTCCACAAGGGGCTATGGGCGACGATCTGAGAAACGTCCCAGAGGATGATCCGAAGACATGCCATCACAATTTTGATCCTCTGCAGAGGGGATAGCACCCCCGCTTCGGTAGCCCAACGACTTGTACGCGAAGTCGAGCACTTTACGGTAGAACTGTTTAACGCGGACCAATACCGCACACCCTCGGTCCCTACGCAGACTGATCCAAGTGGTCACCCACCCGCACACTGACCACAGCCAATGGTGCTTGACTTCGGTGATCTGCTGGGAACCGTGTCTTAACGATCAGTCCACTGCGGGACTGCTGGCCATTGGAAATAAAAAAAATTAAAAAAAAACATTTCCTAAAATTGACTACCAAATTGATTATTTATTGATTTGCAGTTTACAATTTAATAATTCCACTGTCTCATATCTGCTACAACTTTATGAACTAAAGCCGTACATGTGTTTAGTATAATCCACAAAATCTATCCACAAAATCTTACATATACGAACTTTTTTGATGAAGTAATTAAAACTATTCATTCCACTTTATCAGTCCACTGCGGGATGCTGAGAATTCAGACTGACAAACTAACAGCAATCATTTTGTCCAACTACAGGGTACACATATCTATATAAAAAATATGAAAACTGATACAAATTAATGTGATGCTGCTTCTAGGATAATTTTAAACAAGGTATAAACTGTTTTGTTTTTTTTAAAAATTGAAGTCGTAATATTTAGAAATCAATTTGTGTATTGCTTAGCTATTAACCCTACATTAAGCATTTTTTTTCCACCGCCTCTCATATAAACAAACCCTTTTATAAATTGGTGTTTAAATGCATCGATGGTCGTTAGAGGTTCTCCAGATATTTAAAGCAAATTCTCGAAACCACAATTTGGTTACATAATACCTAACTCGTAATATAAAACATTATGCTTCGCAGAAATCGGATAGGAGCTGAATAACCATTTTAAATTGATTCAATTTATACCCGATCGAATTATGGTTACACATTATTATCTAATTTAATAATTAGAGCATAATGATACCAAATATGGATTTAAGAAGGACAACAAAAATCACCACCCAAATCTCTTGGGCCAGAACAGCAACAATACTAACCATTGGTCATAAAAATGAAATTTTTATAACCGTCGTTGGACAGTCGACCCAATTTCTGGGTTTACGACTACTAATATTCAACACTATAACCTTATAATTTTGAACCCATTCTAGAAGGCATGGATACGCCTGGATCAAGTATTGGGAAAAATTTTGCCTTCGTGGAGGACTTTTTGATGTAACTAACTCGCATTTGCATCACATGGATAGGAAAACCACCGAAAAATCCCATGGTTAGCCTGATTTCAAGGAGACTCTAACCCATAATCCATCTACCACTCAGGATATTTTATACTTGCATTGTGGTTGGTGCGAGTCTGGTGCGGAACTTGTATCGACCAGCCATTGCTGGGATTCGAGCACAGTTCTCCTGATTGGAAGGCGAACGCTCTATCCCCTGAGCTACCACGGTTCTATAAAAATGAGAGTGTTAAAATTTCAGATTTGACTTATTTGGCGAAAAGATCAAAAAATGCTACTTGAAAAAAAAAAATTTTGTTGTTGATATTTTAGTATTCTCGATGTACTTGAATGCATAGTTTGACGACACCACAGCTACTAAAACAATTCATCATACTTGTAGCATTTTCTAAATGCACACCATAATTGAATCATCTGTCTTTACATCTGTCATAAAAGTTGTAGAAGAGAACAGAAAAAATCAATAGCGGATATCCTCCAAACTACTTAACTGTTTTTAATACTTTAAGAGTGATGATGTAAGCCTTAAAGCTATCCAATTGTGGATGAAACATTTAACAATATCGGTTTAACAGAATCTCAAAATTTTTACATCAAAAAATATATTTCTATATTAGAAAAAAAACAACAACGCATAATTGCTCTCTTTATGATAATGAGAAACTTATTAATATGTGTGTCGACATAATAGACTATATTAATTAGCATCCTCAAGGGTGCTTGAATTGTAACAAAAAAATAATTACTACTTTCTTCAGTAAGATCCAACTAATTATTTCCCTCTTAAGAGAGCAATATACAACGAGTACCTTTAAAATAAATCTTTTGTTAATTGTGTTCATTAAGTGGACCTTATACTTTCGTTGATAAATGCCTGATTACAAAATGGCTTGATTTATTTGGTTATTTGAATCAGTTGCGAAACTGGCATTCATTTTTAATATTATTAGTATTTTTTTTTTAAAATGCATTTTAACTTGCTTGTACTCACTACCAAGTAACACAGACCTTCAAAATTTGAGTTACGAAAAAAAGAAAAAAGAACGGAATAGGTGGAATATTTCTGAGAAATCGAATTCTATATATATGACAGTACTACAGTTGAAGTTACTCCCGTGTACCATTAAATATAAGTCCTAGTACGTGAAAATCCGATCATTTGATCGAAAGTTATTTAAGTCGATGCGTTTTTTTTCCCGCACAGCACCAAAAGTACAGTTTTGCATTTATTCCTATTAACGTGTCTGACACTATTCTATAGACAAGCGATATACTTGAATCTATACGCAAGATTTTATGCTAAATCTAATGTGGCAGAATCAAGTCTATCGAATCAATAGATTAATGTATACAAAGCGCAATTTCTTGCTTATACATATTTACTTACCTGGCATTGCTAACTAGACAAGTGTGATAGGGGATAGGGACTAGAGTGGACATCCTAAATAGTTTTTTCATTTTTTGGCCAAATATTTTCTGTGAGATTTTGTATATTTACAACACTGATTTACACTTCCATGAGCAATTGCATAATCATGCAATAAATACTTTAGTAGCAATTTATTAAAGAATGTTAAAGTGCAAAAGTTATTTTACGAACTTCAATTCTTTACTCACACATTTTGTTAATTAACATATCCCTTTATTAACATGTTTTATTTTCCTAATAAATTAGAAAATATACGGTTTTATATCTATTTTGATATTAACTTTCGCTCTGTATAGTTTCAATGAATCAACATTGAGCATAAACAAACATACGTCTTCGTGGGACTAGTGTAGACATGTGGACCCCTTCAACTTCCAAAGGAGAAAAAAAATATGATTTTGTTACAAATGATGTTATTTATTTCATAAATTCGAAAGACTTTATAGAATGATATACCTGTACAATTAGTAGTTTCAATCTCCAGTAAAACATTTAGCACGAAGCCTTTAATTGTATCTTTAAAGGAGGAGAATTCAAAGATAATTAGAGATTTTTAGATATTTAGATTCAAAGTGATTTGCTAAAAGAAAAAAATTCAATATAGATAAATTAAAGAAGAACAAAAAAAATTTTAGTGAAGGAATTAAATTATAACAGAACATCAGCGAACTTCGTCACCTTGAAGAGTTGTTTCAATTGCTCTAGTGAGAAAAACATCACTAAACGCACTTTGTGTGTTGTTGTCCATTTAGGCCATTTCATCATTACATTAAAAACGAGGGTAATTAAAAGTGATTGAACCTAGAATTGATTTTTTGCTTTCAGATAAGTAAAATTGAATAATGTTTTTCAAATGCATTAATTTGAGTTCAAACTGTCTTTCTCAGTATAGTAAAATGCTCAATTACAAATAAGTATTTTTTATTA